TTCATTGTGATAGCATGAGTGCTATCTATTTGGCGAAGAATCAGGTTTTTCATGCACGGACGAAGCATATTGACATTCGTTATCACTTTGTTCGGGATGTTCTTGAAGATGGTGATGTGGAACTTGTGAAAGTCCACACGAAGGATAATCCGGCAGATATGCTCACTAAGGTGGTTCCAAGCAACAAGTTTGATCATTGCAGAAACTTGTTGAATATTTGTGATTGTTGAGGCCGTTGACGGCCATTTGGGTGAACTACGTTCGGCTTGATTCCTTGGGCAAGAGGATACGTAGGCAGTCATGTTTGATGCAGCCGGTTTGGATTAGTTGATGTTCGTATTGGACACAACAAGTGGGACATTTGGATGCTTTGGTGTCGGCTCAGTTTTGGGAAAACTTCACCGAGGTGGAGAATTGTGAGCGCGTGGGGTTCACGCGGAGCGGAGTGCGGAACACGAGCCGACCCATGAAGGCCCACCCAAATACATCTTATATTATATATAAGATTGAGATGTTTAGGTTTTTTTTGGGCGTGCACGGAGAGTTGCGGCTACAGAGTGCAAACGAGGTTAATTTGGTTGTGCGGCTGCTATTCTTTTTGCGTGCGAGCAAGGGGAATTTTTGGCTGCAGATTTGTTTGCGGCTACGGAGAAAGGAAACAATGCAAAGTAGTTTGGTTTTTCTTCCTTTTTGTGGCTGCAGTTGAGGAGATTTGTGTAGTCTCTTTTAGGGTTTTGTGAGTTTGGTTTTTCTTCCTTTTTGTGGCTGCAGTTGAGGAGATTTGTGTAGTCTCTTTTAGGGTTTTGTGCATCCCTTTGAGAGAGCTTTGTAAGGGATTTGAGAGTTTGTGTGAGGGTTTTATTTGTGAGATTCTTGTGTAAACCCTATTTGTATTCTCTCCCTCTATTAGTAGATCTCCCCCCTCCTTGCCCCGTAGACGTAGGCAATTTGTCGAACCACGTAAAAATTGGTTGTACTGCTATTTGTGTGATTTGTAATAGCTTTTAGGTTCCCTCGACGCGCAGTCCTAGAGCTGACGAGAGGAAGAGCTAATATCCTACTTTGATAGGATATAGGCTTCAGATTCTTGTTCCCTTTGAGAAACAAGAATTCTTATTGCGACCTGACTCTCTTGTTGTGCTGCCGAAGTGCTGCCGAAATTTCCGCTGCGCGCAACAAGTTCCTCCTCCTTGATGGCAGTGATTATCTCAACGGGAAAATGAAGATAGCTACAAAAGGGGATCTCGATGAAGGATGAAAAATATGAGGAAAAAAGTGAGCAACCCCTACTCTCTCTCTCTCTCTCTCTCTCTCTCTCTCTCTCTCTCTCATAACTCTCTACAAGATTTTGATTTCTGGTTTTAATTTGTCGGGCAAACATCCATTGAGCAAGAGACCAAAAGTTCGCAGTAAACTTTAGTGCCGACCTTCTCGGGGGTTCTTATCGCTATGCATGGTCGCATCAAATCGCCTCTGCGAAGGTGACGACTATTGTTCTAGGGCGCACGATTACCCCTTTCTCAGGCCTGCATTTCTAACCTTTTTTTTATTTGCAGTGAATTTTCTAACAAATAAGATAATGTCATGCAGGATTTTACTGTTGGGATAGGTTTGCATTGGGTTGGGATTGATTTTAATTGGACTTACCACGTAAAGCTTCTTTTATAGTTTGAAAGTTGTAACTGCACCCTACACTCTGTAAGTCATGGCTAGTGGTGACCGAGCCACATAAGCCCCAAGGGACCTTGGTTTCTCTTGACTCTCACCCTCAATTCCTAAATTATGATTTTGAAAATCTCAGTGTGCAATGACTGAATTATGATTTTAAAACCCACAGTGTGCACTGATGTTTATGCGATAAATCATCAAAAAAAAAATGTTATTGCGTTTAAATGTTTTTGTGGGCACTCCTTATCGAAAATCTTGGCTCTACCACTGGTTTCAGCTGCAAGTTTTTGGATTCAAAGTTATCTCGGGTACGTACATCTACAGTTGCAAGCCTTTACCAAATAGCCTTTGGTCTCTTTTTTATAGTTGTTGCTTGTAGTTCATCCAAGCAATGGATAACAACGACTTTTATTTTTTTTTTTCCCCCAGATATTTAAATCTCTGAAAAAGCACAGGTTGTTGAAGCACGCATATCAAGGACTGAGCTGTTTCCATTGCTGAATAACCAAACCCTTCAATTATGCTCAAGTTGTTCAAGAATATCAAGCATAATCCCCTATTTTGACCAAGATTTAACTTATTCTTGCTTCTCCAAAATAAAATAATTATAAGGCTTAATTGCACTTATGTACAGTGTACCTACTTACCCTCACTTGGTTTTAGCGGCACTTATATATTCTAAAATTTTTAAAACTTACAATTATATATCTTAACTATTTTAGCAGCACTTATATACCCTATAGTTTTTAAAACTTACACTTGAATGTCGTAAAGTTTTTAGAACTGACACTTAAATACCCTAAAGTCCTTAAAACTTGCACTTAAACACCCTCAATTTAGCACAGTTGAGAGTATTTAAGTGCAAGTTTTAACAACTTTAGGTTACTTAAGTGCTAGTGTTAAAAATTTTAGGGTATTTAAGTGATGCCAAAAAAGTTAGTTTACATAAGGACAAGTTTTAAAAATTTTAGGGATACAAGTGATAGAAAAAAGTGATGGTATATAAGGAGCTATTTGGTTCAATTTCTATAAAAAAAAGGGAAAAGAAAAAGTGCCCAAATTTTGATTTCATTGTATTTCTATAAAAATTTGTAGGAAAAGTTTATAGAACTCGAAGAGTACTACTTTTCATATCTTTTTGTTATTTCTATGTTTGATTGAAAATATGAGAAAATAAGTTCCTAACTTTATGAAAAATAGGTTATTTTTTCTTTTGTTTGGTTGGATATCACTTTATAGAAAATATGTTCCTAACCTTTTATGCTCATAATGCCCATGGGAAATCACTTGGGTGGAGAGATGAGGTACAAGTGTATTTAATTATTTTTTAATACAAAGGTAAATTTTTCTAGGCAATTTCAGCTCATTTAGGGAGAAAGTTGATTTCTATAAACTACAATATTTTCCCGACTTTATAGAAAACATCTATATATACTACATATAAAAGAGGATTAGGGTGCTAAAACTTTTGATTTCCCCTTGTACCCCTCTTGAATTTGATAATTCCAACTTTACTTTAATTATTTTTTTTATTTAATTTATCTCAAAGTCACATTCAATGAGTCTTAAATTAATTAAATTAAATTAATTGACAATCATCATAATAACAAGACTTAATTAGTTTCTTAGGCACTTGAAGATTTCATAACTTAATTAAATGTATATGTTATAGATCTAATTAATTAATCACTATTTTATTTCCCTTTACATAACCTCTTTTTCATCTCTACACTATAAATTATGGTCATCCATTCTTTTCAATCTATCACATCACCTACTAACACAAATTCCTACACTAACATAATGGTTTATGGAATATGTTATATGAAAAGTTTATCAAATGATTTATAGTGTACATGGCTTTTATATATATATGTGCATACATTAGATAATATTTGTCACATAGTTTGCAGACTTAAAGATTTGTTTTTTATGGAATTGAAGACTATGTCTCATGTTTAATTCAGCTCTTGATTTGTATGTTGTCTCTTGAATCCTTGAAAAAGAGAAGGATAATAGATTATAGAAAGATTGTTATTTGGAAGTCTTGATATTTAAGAGTATGCATAAATCTAATTTGGGAGCCAAAGATTGTTTTTAGTGTGTGTGTTTTTTTTACTGTGGATTAGGCATGATTCTTATTGATCTTTTAATTCTTTTGAATATAGATCATAGGTTGTCCTTTCTTGTTCATTAGATTTACTCATGGTTTAATTCTTAACTAATTGCTCGGTTCATATGCACTTTAAGTTCAGAGATACTATCAACTTATCCAACGCTTTCACTGTTTTTTGTCATTTTGATTTTCTTACCTCTATTAAGCATCTTTTATGTTCTTTCTTCTCCTCATTAAGTAAATTGGAATACAAAAACCTATACATGATATATTTGATTGAATTGCATAAACATTTTGATTTCTTATATGAAATCCAAATTATTTATCTCTTGATTGAGATTCTTTAATTTGAATTATATACAATTTCCATGAACTGAGCTAGTCAAACAATATCTTTATATCGGTTGTGATTCCATCTTGTTGCTATAGCTTTTGTAATTTTACATCTAATAACAATTTTCGTTATTCCAACAAGATACTAGATATTTAATAATAATTTTTTATTTAATGGCCTTTGTAACTTTCGTGCATGATATATTGAGAATCAACATACCATAAGTAAATATTATATCGTAAATACATATTTGAGAATCAATAATCTAGAATATATTATTTACTAATACTTCTTATGCCAAATGTGCCACGTGCAACGCACGTGTGGCATACTAGTTTCTATAAAAAAAATTGAATCAAACACAATTTATGAAAATCTACATAAATCTATTATTTACAAAAATATCATTGTCAAATGTTTTCCCAAAACTTTTCTATAAAATGGGCGAACCAAACATCCCCTAAGTGCAAAGCAGGGGAAACTATAGGGTATTTAAGTTCACTTACGCCTAATTATAAACTCAAAATGTATCAAACTCATCCCTTTGTGGAGAACAAGTCCACAAGGTTTACCAATGGAAAGGAACTAATGATCTGATATGTGCTTAAAAAAGTTGTTTTTCCCCTCAAAACACATCCAATTAATCTTACATCAAGGGAATAATTTGATGCAACTTAAATGAGCAAAGGAACTAGATGATAGTCATATCTAGAAACAAGGTAGCCAGAAATAATAGTCAAATAACAAAAACGCTTGACAACTTACCTCAATCTATTCATCTGCAAATTGGCAACATGTCGACTTTTAGAATCAAAGATTTATTAGATTCGATATGGGCACAATATATGCAAAAAACAGGAAGGAAAAAAATGCAATTCAATCTAAGCCATTAACATGTTGTGACAAATAGAATCAAAGATGAATCGATTACTCATGGACTTGTTCTATATCACCAACTGCTAACAAATTGGATGTAACCTCAAAATTCCAGGATACCGAATGAGGTGAGATATGCATTACATCAGAAGTACACGCAATTTTAACTTAAAGAACAAAACTGTGATAATTTATCCCTCAGCTGAGCAAAACTGTGAGTCATTCTTCTTCTTTGATGATTCTTCTCTTCCTGAAAGGCTGGATCTTTATGCTTCCAGGAGCGCTGTGAGCTCTCCTCTTTGCTTCTTTCCTATTTTCTGCTTCAATCATGGTGCGCCTTAAGTTGGCCGCCTTGTATATTGGTTTCGGCAAGTGCCTGTGCCTGTACAAAACATAGGTTCAAGCCTGATTCTAAACTTGCCTTGTATTGTTAAAGTTCTCTAACTATGTGCATGAATAGGCCAAGGATAACAAATTCATGAACTTAACATCAACTTAAGATGCCATGCAACTTAACAAATATGGATATTACTTACTTGACTATGCGCTTAACCTCTGGAAGGTGTTTGTAGCGTTCTTTGACAGCGTCCTGATATTCTTGCTTCTTGCGTTCCCTTGGCAGAAGCTGCATTGAAATCAAGGGGAGTGATTTATATGAATGAATGTTTTGCCAATTGAACAATATCATTCACAAGGCGTATCTGAAGAATGCAATGACAGTTTGCGAGGTTCAAAAATTATTCATAAACGAAGGTTGGAGTAAATCAATTAAATTGTAATATTGCATTACCATAGGTCTACTGGCAACGTACACAAGGAAAGGATGCCGATTGACTTGTTGGTGTTATATAGTAGGCACAAAGAAAATTTATACGGAGCAGTGAAATAAAAGAACAGACCCCAGGTCTTTTTTTTTCAGCCTAATTTCCAAATAGCAAATCGAACAGCAGATGTAGTATGCATGAAATGAAATAGACACTTACAACTCCCAATTGTTCTGAAGCTTTAGCTTTCCATAACCTAAGATTTGTATCATCACTTCCAGAAATAAGATAAGTCCCATCACAGCTAAATTTTACGCAGAATACCCTGCATGGATAAGAACAATATATGTGTTAGGTAGGCAACTCTGAAAGGAGTATTAAGAGTCGGAGTATAAGAGTCTAGGACAATATGCATTAACAAAGCCAATCCTAACTATGACATCTTCAATACCCCTAACAACCTGTCTACAATACTATTATTGGTGATATTTCTTATTTGGAAGGCATGATAAACAATAAAGCAACAGTTGAAAAATACACGAGATAAAAGTTCAGGAGAAACATAGCCTAAAAACCTTTGCATTCTCTTTGTGTGGTAAATTTCTCTACTATGGCCTCCATTATACTGAAATATCCTTACCTGCAAACATGAAGTTCAAGTTTAAGATAATTTTTTTCCCTCTTTGTGATTAGATTATGTAACGACCAAAAAACCAGATCTCATGATGTAACAGGACTTACTGTTCTATCATAAGAGCCAGTAACAAATTCCCGACCAGTTGGAGAGTAATCAATATCCATCCTGAACCAGCATAAAGAAATATGCATTTATATCCACCATATCAAGCAAACAACAAGGCAATGCTGAATCCAAATATTTTCAATTATGTTACATACACTGCAGATACATGATCCCTATGCACACATTTTGCCTCATCCAGTTTTCTAGCATCATAACTGTAGCAGTTGCAATCCTCATTTGCCTGTAGCACCAAAAGATATTATTTAAGCTCCAATATGTAAGATCCAAGGCTCAATTGAATACATTTAACTAATTGTATTAGTTGGTTTGCATCCCAAGGTAATGAGTAAAATAGAAAGTTTCAGAAAAGCAACATCTCCATGATGAAAGGATAATCAAATCAATTAGCTTCAAACCATTAATAACAAAAAATTTAAAACCCAAACAGTCATAATTTTTTCGCTGCAAGCAGAAAATTAACACATGTAAACAGAATAAGCCATTGTTCTAATACTTACAGCTGTAAAGTTCATCGGCTCCATTGGGTTCCATGAGATTGAATTGGTTTTTGTCTGTGTCAAGAAATTAAAAGAAAATTTGTCTTAGTAATAATGGCAATATGAATACATGCAAAGAGAATATTGAATTTATTACCCTCATGATAAGTTTCCTAGCTGGGGTAGACATGCGCAAATCGTACAATGTTATGCTACGGTCACTACAAAATCAAATATAAACTCTTAATTAATCCATAATATAAAAAGTGAAGTAAAATAAACTACAACAGACTAACAGGATGTTGGCACTAAATCTCAAGCAGGGAGTCAACAAAACCGGCCACATACTGTTATAACTTATAAGACAGTAAGATTCAATTTATCTGGATACAAGGAACCAAGAACAAAATCTGAAGCTAGTAGTAAGACTAGGGGTAGAAATGAACCAAATAATTAACAAATTGTTCGATAATTGTTCGAATAACTATTCGGTCATATTCGATTCGGTAGTTCATTTACCGCTAAACAAATATTTTTTAGTATCCGAGTTTACTAACGAATAGAATTTAACCAGATGTATATTCGATTCGTTTGTCTTTTAAATATTCGTTTAAAATTTGATCACAGCTTATTATTTGTATTATTGCACATATGATGTCGTATTTTTAACTCACTTACCATCTCTACTTAAGTTTTATATACTGATTTTAAGACTTAAATAATCTTAAATCTATTTTCTAATTAAATTTTTGTTTTAAATATATATACATCATATATTATAAAGGAATAGTTTTGTTTGCGAATTTTAATACTATTTGAAAATCAAATTCTTTAGCTGAATAAATATACTTTGATATTCGTTAAGTATTCGTGAATATTCATGAATATTTATCAAATACCAAGTATTCGAGTTCGAATTCGAAAAACTAAATATATGAATATTAGAGTCCGCATTCGAATTCGATAATTTTAAACAAATACAAATACGAACACCTTAGTATTCGATTCGATTCGATCGTTTACCACACCTAAGTACGACAATGACTATTGTTAAAACAAGTCAATGAACCCAACATGTGTTTGCTTGATTATTCCCCTCCTCTCCATTCTTCAATTAGGTACTATCACTTGGCCTAACTGGTTAACAGCTGCTTGTAAAATCCTGTGAAACCAACATTCTCTAAAAAGTTTCTGTAACATGAAACATATCACAAGTGAACTACAAAGAATATAGGGTATAATTTCTAGAAAATCTAATATAACTTAAACATTAAGTGTATTTTCTTTTTTTTATTTTTCCCAAATATAGGTAATTCGCAGACATGTTGCTAGGCAGTAGGCATACCATAGCACAGGTAAAAATCTCGTCTTATTGGCATAGAAGGGGCAAAAAAACACTTGTCCTGATCTGTATTAGGAAAAGCTAAAACAACTGCCATATTTTGCTCCTAAACTTCATTTTGTATGACCAGGTTGATAAAATGATTGAATGTGCCAACTCTCTTTTTCTCATTGTGTGTGCGCATGTGTGTGTACCAAGGACAAATTTGGTATTTCCATAGTGAAGTGACCACTGCTCATCCACACATTTAAAAGTGCTCACTTGAAATTGGTCATCACTTGATTACTCACCTATTAGATGAGTGGATGAGAAGTCTATCTACATGTGTGCGCAATCATGCGAGCTTGCATGCGCACATGTTAGTGGTGCTAAACTGTATCCGTATCCGAGTAAATATCTGTAACCGTATCGGTTAGGATATGGATATGGTTACTCAAACCTATAACCGATAGGATATGGTTACGGATATGGTTTGTAGTGAAATATCCGGATTCGCTTCCGAAATATCCGAATACATATTAGTCATACTGTTATGATAGTTTTAATCCTTAGATTATTGATTTGAGGTTGATTTTGATGATCAAGATGTCTAATATTAGTTTTTCAAATATAATGAAATATTAATGACCTCTGAACTTATTTTTTTCAATAGTATCTAGTTTTATCATATCCATTTTTGTATCTGCATGTATATCCGTATCCGTATCCGATTTTAGCGGATATGGATATGAATTTTCCTTACCAAGATATATTTGTATCCATATCCGTATCCATATCCGAGATAGGTAAGCGGATATGGATTTGGTAAGTCATATCCGAGCCGTATCCGAACCGAATGCACCCCTAGGGCACATGTGTCTTCAGATAGAAAGGGGTCCCAAATTTAGGCATAAATGAGTGGCTTGTGTCTGTTTACCTAAAACCTCAGTGGTCGAGATAACAACAATTGCAATAGGTGCAAAGATTCAAGCAAAGTGAGACTAATAAAGCTGCAGAATATTTAGGAGTAAAAAAAATTAAACAAGGAGAATGAAAGAAAATGATCTAGCAAGTCAACATTCAGAAAACTTCCCCCCCTCAACATCTGACATGAAAACTGCATATTAGAATTATATACACTAGCAGCTTTGCACGTGCCATATACAAATTTTGTTGATTTTATATTAAAAAAAGGAAGTAAATACAATTATAATATAGATTTTAAAAACTGAAAAAAAACTATCTTTCATCATAATCTCTAATCAATTTTCAAGTTGTGAATGTACCAACGGAAAGACAATTTTCGTGCATTTTCTACAAGTTTCATTTATATAAATTAACAAGGGAATATTTTCTTTTTTGACAGTATAATTTCGTGAACAATAGAGAGGTTCCGAAAATATTTGGTTTCATATTGAAGAAAATATTGGTGAAGAAGTTCTAAAGAGAGATGCAGTTGTGGGTGAAAATTCGAAAGTTATAGAGAGAGAGGGAGGGAGTGTTGGTGGGACCCATTTGAATAGTGATTGTTAGGAATGACAAAATTACCCTTAAGTCTTTGTCAAAATGACCTCCTATACTTTAACAAAGTGAAGAACATGACTCCATTCCTTCACTTTGTGTTGCCCTAAAAAAAGTTTTTTATAGATTAGTATGGTAATAAAGAGTAAGAGAATGATATTTTACATACCTCCCTGATGTTGCAAGTATATCTGGTTCTCCAGGATTGAATTGTAAAGATATAACTGTGTCATTACCCCATGTGAAACTGTTCACTGGCTGTGACCTATTCAACAGAAGATAAACTAATTATCAAGTAATCTGCATAATTCATCGACTTGTCATAAGGTGAAGCCAGTCAAAAGCAAACCTGTTATGATCCCAGATGTCAACTTGCGCACCAGCAGTTGCAAAGAGACTACCATCCCACTGGTGATCAACCGCCCTGAATGTAGATGGTCATCAAGTAAACCTTCGAGATAGTGTATGCAGCATGCAGTGAAAATAAAAACCAAAGAGCAATCCTCTAGATTGAAAAATATCAATGTAGAGGTATGTACAAGAATTTCTACAGAGAATTACATTCAACAGAAGGTAAGGAATTAAGCTGGCGCCCAAAATTTAAAAAGCATTTCCAACAATATTAAATTCAAACAAACTCATATTAAACTAATCAGATAAGGCATAAGCATTCTACAATACTGAAGTAGAATATGTGCGTTCTTTATGTTAATAAATGCTAAAGAAAACAAGTCTCACCAGAACGCATGCTTCCACACATAAACTGCCAGTGGCTGAAATAGAAACAAACACAGTTATAAAAAATAAATAAAATAAATAAAAATAAGATAAAGCAGCAGCAATAAAGGAACAGACAGGAGCTTTAAGTGATATGACTGAAAGAAAACACAAACCTCTGAAGCATTTCCAACTGACTCATCAGAATCAATAATTTTAGAAAAAGGAACATTCCACAGCCTAACACTGCAAAAGAAAAGATAGTTGACTTAGCAACAGAAAAGCAATATTCCAAAAAATATTTTGCCTTATCTACTACTAAGAATAAGACAAACTACCTACATGATCTTAACCAAATTAGCAAAGTTAGGTCCAACCATCACTGAACTCCACAAACTACTTTCTTACGTTCAAAAAATTAAGTATACAAAGTTTCAGTATTTTTGTTCTTTTTTCTTTTGTTTTGTTGCTTTCTTTTTTCCATCCACATAGAAGACAATAATTGTGTTAAGATAATAGGAAAATACACGAAGAAACAGGTTTCAGCTTGCCTGGAATCTGTGCCGCATGATATGAGAACCTTTCCATCCGTAGATGCTGCTAAGCCTCTGACAGCACCTTGGTGGCCAGGAAACTGGCAAACAGTCTTCCTGTTTGATATGTTTGAAACATCGTAAATCGTAAAGAAGAAAAAAGAGAAAGATAGCAGCAAAAGATATAATGCAAAATTAAGCAAGCGACAGCTCTTTATATAGAGTAATGATAATGACAAAGAGTTCCTGTTTGATATGTTTGAAATATAGCAAGCATTGATTGAATGAAAAAAGAAAAGGAGAAAATTAGAAGCAAAAAGATATAATCCAAAATTAACCAAGTGACAGCCTTTATATTGAGAGTAATGGGAGAGTTACGAGAATATTTGTTATAACTTCAAAGCTAGGCCTTAAATACAGAACACTCTTAAGAGAAGAATCAGTCACAAAACACACAAGACTAAAGGAAATGTCAAGGGTGTCTGAGAGGGCTTATTTTTTTAAGCTTATAAGTTAAGTGGCATTTTGTGGCTTTTGACTTTTATGGTAAAAATGCTATAAACATTCTTTGGTCACACCTAGCTTGTTTAGGTGAGCTTATAAGCTAGTTTTTCAAAAGCGGGCTAGACCAGCTTCTTAAACTGGGGCTTATAAGTCAACCAAAAAAGCAGATATGAAAAAGCTAACTTAGAAGTTTGATCAAAAATAAGCTTCCCCAAAGACCCTCTTAATCAATTAATGACAGCAAATAGCAAAAATATCAAAGAAAAAGAAATATCAATATTTTTCTGTCCTACCTGGTAGCTATATCCCAAAGACGAATGTCTGCCAAAAAGAAAATAAGATGAATTAGAAAATTAAATCCAACCTGTTTTTGAATTAAAGCGTTATGACATGAATAAAAAAATAGTTGAGGAACAAAGGGACATAAATACTAAAAATGTAAAAATAACCAAACTGAAATCACAGAATCACTTTAATCTGCAAGAGTACACAGTTTAGGATTTACTATAACTTTACAGAATTGCTAATCAGCATCAGATATCCGGCCCACACATTAAGTGCCCACAAGAGCATTGTCTAATTGCAAGTGTAAAACAATATGATAGGCACAATCAGCATGATACATGTAAATGCTGAAAATATAGTAAATTAGCTCAATATGGGGGTGTAAACAAAGAAAGGGTGTTAACAAAGAGACACGGTGCAATGTAGTTGTTTGATGGTACACTACTTACAAATTTTGGTGCAAAATGCTGTCAGAGCTCATGGTTCAACATAGTGTTTGGACGACTGTGTTGCTTCAAGACCTTGTTGGCATGGATTAGAGTTCAAGATGGAGCATGCATGTTGGGGTTGGATTATTGAAACTAGGAAAAATAAATTGTATTAATTACGTGTAGTAAAATATGTGTTGTAGTGAAGGGTTTGCACTACTCCAAATCTTGATAAAAGTTCCATATACTATATACATTCAATCCTCTGTGTATCCGGATTCTGGGTAACTACCCATTACACCTCAATTAGCTTTTTGGAAGGGTTGTGAAGGAACCAGAGTTAACTCCGGCATAATCCTAGTATCCAAATGGAGTCCAATGTCGCATTAAAAGCTGCTTGATAATACCATTATAAGTTTATAACAGCCCGTTTATCTCACAATAAATTCGGTTCCCTTTTAGTCAGCATAGAATTTTTCTGTATGCACTTAAAAAGACAAAAAAATGAAATACAAACAGATCAAAAGCTAGCTACATTTGTAGATCAAAACCAACAGAATCATGTCGAACAAGTGAAAAGATATGTACTTTCCAAAGATTATTTTGGTCATAATTATAAGAAATATTAAGTTAGCATTATGTTTTGCCACCTTTTCTTAACTATTGACAGTGAAGAGGTAATTTGTGCTACAATCGTGCATGTAGCATCATATAAATGGATGAAATTTTCAACTCCATCAACAACGAAAAATGAATAAGGGAAAAAGATCATAGGTTATGTACCTCCATCCATAGAACCCGAAAATATTCCTTTCAAGTGATTCGGGTTCTTCGCCATACAGGACACAGCATCGATGTGCCCATCCATAGCTCCAATAAAAGGCCTCGCAAATATCTAATGAACCCAAAAACAGCTCAATTATAAGGGGAAAAACAAAGCCTTTTCAGACCCGATAAAAAAACCTTACCTTTTCCAATTTCGCAGCATTAAGAGCCCTCGTGTACTCTGTAGCTCTCTCTTGCGGCCTCAGATTTGGATCATAATTTCTGAAAACTTTCTGTTAAAAGATACAGCAGCATTAGAAACTAAACGTTTGCGAAAAATCAATCCGAATCAAATAAATCGAAATTTTGAGAGGACAGAAACCTGGAGGTCTTGGCTGCGTTCGCGGGTGAATTCATCGGTGGAACGAGAGATCACCTTCACCTTCATCTCTGAACTTAATGGCTACGGAGAGAGAAACCCTTAAACCCTAGCCCTAGATTCCGAGAAGAAGGACAAAGAAAAAGGACAGCGGAAAAGAGAGGGGAGAGGGAAAGGGAGAGCGAAAAGAAACGGGTGAATCCTATAAGTAATCAAACCCGAACTCCGAACTCAATCTACCATCGTCTGAGGATGTAGGGCTGTCCAAAATACCCGCCCGCTCGGAAACCCGGACCCGGATCCAGGTTGTCTCAGCGGCGCCCGATCCGGACCCGGCCCAGCCCGGAACAGGGCCGGAACTGGGTCCACCTCCGGGCCGGGCAGCCCGGAGCCCGGCCCGGCCACAACGGTCAAAAACGTCGTTTTGATTGTTTTGCCCCAAAAAACTGTCAAAAATGGCTATTTTGTGAGGTTATTTTGGTCATTTGCCTAAAGGGCTGGTTCTATAAAGGCCCGGTCCGGCCACAACGGTCAAAAACGTCGTTTTGATTGTTTTGCCCCAAAAAACTGTCAAAAATGGCTATTTTGTGAGGTTATTTTGGTCATTTGCCTAAAGGGCTGGTTCTATAAATAGAGGGGGGTTTTCATTTGTTTTCTTCACACCAATAACTCATCTCTTCTCTCTTATACTCTCTCTTATACTCTTATACTCTCTTATTTATATTTTCTAATCCTTCCATCAAATGGCTTCCGGATCTGATTATGAAGAGCAAAACCTATCTCCCGATCCTGAAATGAGTCATCCTACTGGGTCTACTCCTACCGAAGTTAATCCTGAATCCGGTGGCGACGAATCTGCACCAAGAGCTCCTAAAAGGCCAAGATCCGATGTGTGGAATTTTTACGAGAAGATCGACATCACCAAGGATGAACACGGTAGGATCCTCACCCAGAAGGCTAAGTGTGCATTGTGCGGCAAGATTTTTCAAGCTCATCATAAGAGCGACACCAACCACCTCAAACACCATTTAGATAAACACAACAAAGGTCAGACTCCTCAATGTGATATCCAACAATCTATGATTTCTCAATCCTCCTCTTCTGGTAGTCTCGGTAGTTAGAACTATGACGCTGCCAGAGCCAAGAAATGTGTAATCAGGTTTATCATTCTTAAAAACCTTCCTTTTAAATTAGTAGAAGATGATGAATTTGAAGATATGTTTAGAGATGGTTTTTATCCTGCATTTAAAAAAATTTCTCGTCAAACCTGTCAACGTGATATTTTAAAATATTATCAACAGGAACAAGAAAAAATAGTTTTTTATTTTAAAAATTTAAACTGTAAATTTTCTTTAACTTCTGATATTTGGACATCTAGAGCACAAACTGGATATTTATGTATCATAGCACACTGGATTGATGAAAATTGGCAAATGTTTAAAATAGTTGTTTCTTTTATTGCAATAGAAGAGTCACATACTGGTGCTAATGTTGCAAATTTAATAATTGAAGAACTTATGAAATTAAAAATTTCAAAAAGAATATTTTCTCTTTCACTAGATAACGCAAGTAATAACAATGTAGCTGTTGATTTTATCATATCATATTTATCATTGCCATGTCATGGTGATCTTTTTCATATTATGTGCATCTGTCATATTTTTTAAATTTAATTGTTCAAAGTGCATTTACTGAAATTAAACCCATGATTGAAAAGGTTAGAACAGTTGCTTACATGCATAGTGCTTCTGAACAAAGACTTAAAAGATGGAAACAATTTTGTAAAAGAAAAAATGTAAAGCCTAGACTAATTCCAAAAGATGTTGACCATAGGTGGAATTCCACATATGAAATGTTAAGTGTAGCAATAGAATATAAAGACATTATAACTGATTTTATAAACTATTATGCTTCTAGTTCTAGTTCTGGTAGTACTTATGGAATAACTGAAGATGAATGGACAGTTATATGTAATTTAAATGAAATGTTACAAGTTTTTTATGATGCTACAATGTTATTATCTGGTTGTTATTATCCAACCATTACTTTAGCTGCTTTACAAATTTTAAATATTCAAAAAAAATTTGATAAATATCGTATGGATGCTACTTTTGGACCTATGATTTTTAAAATGGAGAGCAAATTTAATAAGTACTTTAGGCCTATTCCTCATATTTTTGGTTTGGGGGTTCTTATTGATCCATGCTTGAAGGATATTGGCCTTCGAAGTTTGTTACAGTCATTGTATGGTGGACAGGTTATAGACTTAGATGATGGAACCACCCTGAATGCTACTACTCATCATTTACTTATTAGAAATTATTTTCAAACTTTATATGATGAGTATGCAGCTAGACATGGTGTAGCTGCACAACAGTCTACAGCTTCGGTTTCTTCGAGCTCATCCCGAGCCCGAGGTAAAAGTGTAAGTTTTGATAGGTATGCAATGGTAGCTGAGCTAACTGGTGGATCTGGACATGGATCGTCGTCATCGGAGGTTTCTGAAATAGATGAATATTTTTCTGCTTCTTTAGTTAGATATCAAGGAAATGCTTTAAATATTTTACAATGGTGGAAAGTATATGGATCAGTTTTATATCCTATACTTTTCACCATGGTTCGTGACTTACTAACAGTGCAGGTTTCGACGGTAGCTTCGGAATCCGCCTTCAGCACAGTAGGTCGTTCGATCGACGATCATAGGACATGCTTGGATCCGTATACTGTACAAGCGGTGATGTGCTTACAAGATTGGTGAAGGTACGAGAAGCGAACGCAAGGCATCGATCGGATGGCTGGAATTGAAGATAAATTTGAAGAATTGGGACTAGCAGATAGATATAAAGAATAGATTGTAGTTTTTATATCTTAGCTTAAAATTTGTAAAGAATTATTTTGGAAATAATTGCAAATGATAGTGATATAGGTGAGTAGGTGCCAACCTAGTTGGGATTTACTTATCTATTGTGATGCGATTAATTCCAAAATAAATTTGTACTTGTAATTTGTAACTGATTTATCAATTATTAATAAAGAATATGTTTTTATCATTTCTTATTTGTAATTTATGTCATTTTAAGTAATTAATAAAATTATTATTTTTATTATTTTTCTTATCTTTTTTTATAATTAAAAATTTAAATAAAATTGAAAAAATTTGGGGGAAAAATAAAAAATAAAAAAAAATCAGCCGGGCCAGTCCAGGTCCCGGTTTTGCCCGGGCCGGGCCCGGATTTCCGGGCCGGATAGACATGCCTATGAGGATGTAACAAACCCGACCCAATATCAGCACTCCCTAACTCCAACGCGCTCCCAACCCGAACCAAAGCCAAAGTGCCAAAAAGTGCCAAACAAACTCTTAAGGGCTTGGTTAGATTGGCACCCAGTGAAGAAAAGTTAAGGCAATATAGGATAAAGTAAGTGAATGAAAGGAAAGGAAATATTTGAACTTATTTTAGAAATTAGTAGTGAGAATCAATAGGAACTTAGGCCTTGTTTGGTACGCGATAATGAAATATCAATTCTCACTTCTCATTCCTTCCTACCAAACACAACATCTTTTTTGAAGTTAGAATGTCCATTCACACTTCTCATCAATTCCCACTTTATATGAGAATGTGCATTCCTAATGAAATGATAGGGAATGGGCATTCCCACTTAAGTGGGAATTAATAAAAAATAAAATTTTAAAATACATTCTTTCCCACATCATTTTATAAATTCACTCAAACGTGAGAATGTGAATGAGTATCTCGTTCTCACATTAATTCAATTCCATTCCTTAGTCCATTCTATTCTCATTTCACTCTATTCTCACATACCAAACGAGGCGTTATATTGTCTCATTTGGGAAGTCTAATAAAGTGAAGAGAATATATATAAATTTACATATATATTTAACTTGTTATTTCACCCATTTGAATCTCATCTTGATGTAGGAGATAAAAGCGTCTTTTTGTAATATTCTCTTTTTTTAAGAGTTACATTTCCCTAATTTCCCCTCTATTATACTCTCATTTGGGAGCGAACAAAATCTAAAGTTTTTCCCCCTCTATTGTCTTAACTTCTCCCTCATTAACTATCTCAAATGATTTTCCAAACAAGGTTAATGTATTCCCTACCTTTCTTTTACTCACATTACCCCTAATCTAAACCAGACCTAAGGTGATAGACCTCAGAAGCATTTTAGCACAAATGTATCCCCTACCTTTTTTAACTCACATTACCCCCAATCTAAACAAGACCTAAGGTGATAGACCTCAGTAGCATTTTAGCACAAGGATGAATAATGATGCTAAAAGAATGACTAGGTTGTAAATCACATGCTGCTTTTTGTTCTACTGTGAACAAAACAAAGGGACTTTTCTTATAAATCATTGCCAAACCTAATCTTGTTCTACTATGAACAAAATAAAGAGATTTTTTGTAAATTATTTCCAAAATATTTTAATCGAGATTAAGTTTCTTATACAACTAGTATTAAGTCTGGGTGTTGCTGCAAGTACTATTAGCGAGGTATATCTGTCACTAAATTGATAATATAATTTTTATAAATAACTATTTATAAAAACTTCAACGATAATTGTTTACTACTATTTACATAGTAAATTTCTGAACCAGTTAACAAAAAAACACTAATTAGCAAGTTGTATTAATTTCCTATAATAGAGGCAAAAAATATTTATATTTGTGAAATGTTTAATGAACGTTAAATTCATCAACTGCAAGAATAGAAAAAAAGGAATTATGAATAGTATTTTTGAGGTTTAAAAATGTTATTTTAGCTTAAAAGGCAGCTAATATGGTAAAAACACTGTAGCATATACAGTATGTCCAGGATTCAAAAATTACATTGTAGGATGAACAATGTTTATAGGAAAAAATTAATCACAACGCAAACAATAGATCTGAGTATTACTTAACACAAACAATACTTCTAATACACACTGTAGCAGTAATAATTTTTTTACTGTAGCATGAACGATCAATTTGTGGTCTTCCTTTTAAATTAGAAGTACTACGTGTAAAAATAGTTCGTGGTTTATAGTTTAGTTCCCCTAGGTTCACTACTCGCTATAACAAATGAAGACAACAACTAAATTCAATAAAAATAGTCATATTAAAACATTGATATGAATTTTTTTCAACTTTGATATTAAAAGTTAAAATAATAACAATATAATATAGAATATTG